ATCGAGACTAAGTCGGTTTAAAAATCGAGCCTAAGTCGATTGGGCCCGATTTTTAAAGTCCAAGAAGAGGAAACCGTAGTTTGCTACCCATCTATAAATAGCAAGACCTTATCTCTTAGCTCATTATTGGCCACACAGAACAGAGAGAAAACCTTATCTTTAATCACTATTCATCTTCTTCAAGCTTACCATCCACCATAGCCATGGCTTGAGCTTCAAACCTTCAAGATCCACCACCCCTGTCAGCTCCGGCGAGCCGCCGCCGTCCTTCGGCGACCTTCACGACCGGCGACCCACAGCTCACCCTCAGCTCAGTCACAACGAGCCCATCTCCACTACGAATCCTCCACTTTGAGCAGCCCCGGCGAGCCCAGAACCACCGTCCTCGGTCCAGCACCTCCTTCACCACCTCGCTGTTGCAGCTTTCCGGTGAGCTTCTCTCACAGCAAGCTCGGAGCTTCTTCCACGCGCGACCACCAGCTCGCCGCCGCCTCTCAACTACGATGAGCTCTTCTCAGGCCGACACTACCAACAGCTCCCCTCCTTCACAACGAGCTCGTCACCTATCATCCTCGTCGCCTTCACGAAGGAGTCACGACCACGACCAGGAGCTTTGTTTCCGGCGAACCAGCCTCTTTCTAAGCTCGGATTCGAACCACCTAGCACCAAGCCGACTGGATCCGCGACCCTCAGTAGTGAACTGACCCGAGCAGCTCGAAAACTGGCCCGTTTAGCAGATCCATAGTCGAGATTCGACCCGGGCAGCCCTCTTTCGAACTGGTTACTTCCTTTTCCTTCATTTCCCTAGCCCGATCTATTTTTTGATCTGCTCGTTTTCGAACATTTGAGGTATAATTGCTAAAACTCGATTTATACGGCTTAGACTTAATAATTAAAATGCTATAAGAGAAGATGATAAGTTGAATTGAGCAATTTTGGTTAAACCGGGACATTTGAGCTTGAAGCGATTTTTCGGGACTTTTGATATGGGCGTGATAGAATGCCGAAATAAATGATTAAATTCGTCCCGTTGACTTGAGGCTTAAGATGTAATCGGATTAATATTTAGTGTCTGTTTGATAGGCGAACTAGTGGTTCGAGTAGATTGTCGGTCGTAGTAGATTTGAGTTGAATGTGATAGGTGTTGACTTGAGACCTGAGATTTTGACCTTGGACTTTATAAATGTTGAGGAGGTTATATTTTAAGTTTCGTGATTTTTGGTGCCCGTTTACTATTTTAACCGGATTTGTTTAATATGTAGTCGATATACTCGATTTTTGATAAAAATGCTAAAGGCCTCGAAATGCGTTGAAACTTTATGAAAAAATCTTATAAATGCTAAATGTGATATGTTAGAAATTTCGTGAATTTTGGAGACTGTTTAGTATGCCTAATAATTTGAGGCTTTAGCTGCTTTTATTAAAAATGCTAGATATTATACCAGTTGAGATTTAGTTGCAGTTGTTGGGCCTAAAATCACTAGAAATTATGTTGAACTTAGGGTTTGAGTTTCGGCTTAAACTGAGTTAGGTAGCTGGTTGAGTAGAGAACCATAGTTCGACCTTTTCCTGGACAGTCCGGATGAACTCTAGATCAGATTAGAAAAGTTGTGCATCGGCTAATGCCATGTCTGTGCGTATGTACCCAGACCACGGTTAAACCGAGTTGCACCCAGTCAGACGAGCAACCGACTGGTTCAGATCGAGCCGCCGGTCCAGTTCAGCCGAATCGGTCCGCATTGTCTGGACGATTCGAGAATAGCAGTTCGAAATATCGGTTTGAGCGTGAACTGAGATTCAGTATTTTTCCGAACCCAGTCAGATAAGTCAGATCAGAATAAGTTAGTTCAGATAAAAATCAGATCAGTCAGATAAGTTAGATCAGATAAATCAGATAAGCAGACCAGACTTAGAAATATTTCAGAGAACTCTAGAATGCCTCAAAATCAACAAATCTTTCCAAAATAGCTCAAATCCTCTAAATCCATATTAAATGATTTTATAATCGAGCGAGAGAACCTAGTAAGATCAGATAATAATAAGAATCAAGTTTTTAGTTTGAGCTTAGTAATTAGTACATTTTGCTCAAATATTTATGTAGCTTAAGGAGAGTCGAGCCTCCGACAGCTAGCAGTCATCTAACACTTGCCTACCAATAGCAGCTTATCAGGTGGGGGACACATACTGGTTATACATCATCTTTAATTTTCGTACCATGTCCGAGGTATGTATGAGTAAATTATGTTTAACCAGAAGGAAAGCAATTGCGAGCCTTAATGATCCCTTCTGGGTTCAATTATATCACCCAGGATTGGAGGCTGAGCGTGCCTTAATGTTCCACCTGTGGTATGTATGAGAAATTTTATCATCCAAGATTGGAGGTTGTGCGGGCCTTAATGTTCCACCTGTGGCTATCATCACGAGGGAGGTCGTGGCGGGCCTTAATGATCCCCCGTAGGTTCTGAGGGAGGCCTTAATTGGCCTTAATGATTCCCCGGAGTGTGCACATGATTTAGCGGCTTTAAGCCCAGGGTCTTTATGACTACTAGACGCCCAGTTACAGTTACAGTTACAGTTTCAATTCGGTTCAGCTCAGTACATATATACTCAAGTCATGATATGGTTATTAACGATGTTGTTAAATTAAGTACTGGTCTTTGCGGAGCATAGTGGTTTTGCTTAAGCCCCCATTACGTTTTTCAGGTGACGAAGCAGCGCGTGGCGCGTGAGCATCAGTGGCGTGTGGTCATTAGCAGCCTTTTTGTAACGCATTTACATGTCATTTATTGAACATGTATTATTATTACTATGCGTAGACATATTATGTTTCAGTTTCCGCACATTTCAGACTTAGTAAGTATTATGAGATATTCAGTCTTATGCATGTTTAATGCCTTTATCTCCGTGGTACCTTTATATAACGGATTTGATTAGGTTAGATGTATTTATTTACGTCTGCATGAGAAAGTGTTACATTTAGTAGCATCCCGCGAGTTTGTATGAGTATTTTCGAAAATAAAGTTAAAGAGTTTTTCGAAAATAAAAAGCAAAAGTTTTACTCTGATTTTATTATTTCTAAAATAGTAGGCAGGGTGTTACACCATGTACCCTCCCAGATGCAGGTTAAGCAGATTGCGGGCACGGCGAGGCGAAGCGAGTGGTGGTCAGTCTAGATGACTTGACTATTATTTTTGTGGTTCCGCATATTTGAAACTCTATGTTGAAGTATGGTCTATGACTTGAGATATTTCTAACTTTGGTTATTTACGTTGATTTGAAACATTGTTGGGGAGATGCCCCGTTTGACATTGCTATGTCTTTTAACTTTGGATTGAAAACCTGATTTGGGAGTTTATGACTTGGGTGAAACCTTTGATAAGGTGTGGGATTACGTTTTGATGTCATTGCTATGACTGTGTATTGTGATATATGTGATGATGCATACTATGATTTTGGAAATAAATGAGTAACGCCACAAATATTTGAAATGTGTTTTTGAAAAATTAAATTAATTTTTCTGAAAAGCCACGAATTTTCGTTAAATCAAAGTGGGGTGCTACAGTGCAACCAACACAAGGTCTACTGGGATAGAACGTTGCCTATTCTGAGTCCAAGTGTCATCCTTTCTGGTCGATCGTACGACCAGCCATGTACACAGTTCGAGTTCCGATAGGCCACCCGAAGGCCCTAGCTCGACCTGTTGTTGCCTCCCTATACACCTGGTGTTGTCTTTGATCTGAAGACTTTTGGTCTTGCGTTGGTGGCGTCGGCCACCAACGACGTCCCTGTTGTTCTGTTCGACCAACCGATTCGCTGAACTTAGTCGGTTAGTTTACTGAATTTGTTCTATCAGAGTCTGGTATCCCATATCAGTAGCGTTACTCTCATTTTAGAGAGTGTTTACTCTAAACTAGTGGAGCTGGATAGTTTTGATGTGAGTGTGTTTGTTTTAGTAGTATGGATTCTAGACTATATTCAGGTGGTCCTCCCACTAAATTGAGTTATGTGGCTTCTTGGGTCAGCTATATTGACTGTTTGTAAGATGTAAATATGCATTTTCATTTATAAACTCGATCTTCACGAAAAAAAAAAATCTATATATATATAATTGCTGGCATATAGAATTTAATAAAACATTTAATAAAACCTCCATTCATTTTTCCGCTCATTTTTTCAATTAATGTAGAACCGTTACATTTTACATTAATAAGGTGTAATAATAATTTTAATATAATTTATTCACTACTAACACTAATTGATTACAACTTTACATTAAATAGTATGTGGAAGTTACATACTTATAAAAAATTGTATTGCAATTTTTTTCTTTAAAATGCTTTTTCTAAAATAAAATATTTTGGTTTATTTTAAGCGATTTTTATCTAATAAGTTAATTGGCATGAGTGTCATAATTAAACACCTTAAAATCACATAAACAAGTGCTATAACAATGATAAAAATAATTGTAATACTTTTCTAACTAATTAATTGTATGGTCTCTCTAAATTACTAAATTATATTAGCCATTAAAATTTATGGCATCAATATAAATATTCATACGTAGTTAAATAAATTATATTTACATTACACATTTGCATGTAGTCCAAACTTAAAATGTAATACATCAATTATTTAATATAAAATTTGTATATATTGTATACATAAATATAATATATAAATTTTTATTTTTCTTTGTGCATGTGCACATGATGAATACTAGTAATAATAATAATCTCCATTTTATTATTTTAAAACATGGTCAAATTTGTATACAAAATAAGATTTAAAAGCAAAAGCGGTGGCGTTTTATTGCTTGTTTTGGGCCAACCAGTCCTTCGCATCCTCAAATTTCCCCAGTTGACCCCTCCACAATCTCCGCCGCACCACCGCAATTATCAACCGTCCCGCCGCCAGCTGCGTTGCCGAGAAATCCTACAACATACAATATTGAACAAAAACCTCTTCGTAGAAAAACGAGAATTGAAACCGATTAGATTCGTATGGGCAATCCGAAGCAGAAGTGGACGTCGGAGGAGGAGGAGGCCCTCCGCGCCGGTGTGGCCAAGCACGGCGCCGGAAAGTGGAAGAACATCCAGAAAGATCCCGAGTTCAACCACCTGCTGTTTGCTCGCTCCAACATTGATCTCAAAGTATGTGCCCCTATTTTTCTGTTATTTTGAGTGGGGAATTTTGCTTTTTCCCTAATTTTGTTGCCATTGTTTTTTTTTTTTTTTTTT